TATATAAGATATCTATGGTTATTACTTGTTGCTAGCTTATGCATGCATGGCCGCCATTTTTCTACTACACCAAACTGGAAAACTGTTTATGTGACTATATGCGTAGCTAGACAAACCCATTTTATGACTATTATGCACTCTAATTTCAAGTGAAGGAAGCACTTATCTAATAAATTAGTTGTTGAAGTCGAAGCATCTTATAATTTTTGCAAACTGTCTGTAGCAGTTTAATTGCATGGTGATACCAATCGCAAGCACTAAAATCTATGCAAGCGAGTTATTATTAACGCATATCAGCATATATTAAAATATATTTATATAACGCATTAACGCATATCAGCATATATATATTAAAAGATTTCATAATAATCTGACAATGCAATCGACCAACGAAAAATTCGTTGGCTCCAGCGGGATTTGAACTCGCATTTTCGGGTATCTAGACCACCGCTCTACCTATTGAGCTATCGAGTCAACAGGGATTGGTAGCGAGTCTTGTCCAATTTAAGTGCACGAAATATTTTCGTGACGACTTAAAGGACAATGGCACCGAAAATTTTTATTGGCTATTTCAATCCTACTTGACGACCTAACTATGAAAATATTATCATTTCGTTCTCAAACATTTTAGTCTACGAGTAAAAGGCATGCAAACTTTGTGTTTCGCCGCCATCTTGGAAATATTTTCTGACAAATTATCTCGAAGGTCAATGAACTTTGTGACGTCATTGGATGGGTAGCGCTAAAACTACAAGAGAGAATTCTATTGCGTGCGTGTTATGTTAGCTAAAAATATGTCGTTTTGAGAGTTATACTGGCCAACACTCTTCGCAATCAAACAAGAGAAGTCTACACTATCAGATAAAAACATATCGAGCGACTGGAAAAGCAAGGAATGGCGCAATTTACAATACAGGTAATTGATCATAAAATATTGCATTAGTATTTGTCTTGTTGCACTCGAATTTCTGCTTTTATTTAACACGGAGTAGGATATATACTATGAGAAATAGTGTTACAAACAAATTACATACTTGGTAAAACTTTGCTGCCTTTTGTTTTGGTTCAAATGCACTACGCGTGGCAATACTCGGTATTGTTTATAGTCATGAAATTGTTTTTACCCAGCCAATGACGTCAGATAATGTATTTGGAGGCATAAATTAACATACGCGCTTATTTTCAAAATGGCGGACAACTGTTGAACTTTCTATCAAATTTTCTCAACAACTAAACGCGACAAACCGGCCAAAATATGAAATTAAATATTCCGCAAGTATACCAAAGAGATATAAGTAATAAAAATTTTGGGTGCCAATGTCCTTTAACGCTTGTCATAGAGGACGCGCAGATGCGAGTTCAAGTCCCGCTCGAGCCAAATTTTTCGTTAGTTGATTGCAGTGTCAGATTAATATGAAACTAGTTTTTCGTATCTCTGAGGATGGTTCTGAAATAGAATTGAAACACTGCGCGTCCTCTAAGACAAGCGTAAGTCGTCACGAAAATATTTCGTGCACTTAAATTGGACAAGACTCGCTACCAATCCGTGTTTGACTCGATAGCTCAATAGGTAGAGCGGTGGTCTAGATACCCGAAAATGCGAGTTCAAATCCCGCTCGAGCCAACGAATTTTTCGTTGGTCGATTGCAGTGTCAGATTAATATGAAATTAGTTTCTCGTATCTCTGAGGATGGTTCTGAAATAGAATTATAACAATCGGCCGTGCCAGTATATAGAATACGACTAATCCATCATATTATATGATAATGGTGTATATAAATGTATGTTATTTTAAAAGCTATGGAAAATATAATGAGTAATGTGGTAAATTGTTCCACACATGATGGTTTTCTCATCCAATCGACTGTCAGTAATGGTTCTATAACGATCAAATTAATATGGCGTAAATGACTAACGTATAATATAGATAGTAAATTTCACTTCATGCAATATATTTTTATCGGTACTTCAGTGAAGGTCTACATCACCTTTGACTCCTCATATACTAGTCGACGTGCAGTCAGGAGGACGTACAACCCGAATAAAATTAGTTTCTTCCTTTCAGTGTAATTGTAGTTTTATATATTAGTTTATTGGTTTACTCTACATTTGCTTATATGTGTTTAATTAGCTTATTAAATGTACATGAAACATGAAATTAAACAGATCTAAAAGAAATTGCCTCCCAATGTTTGCCGCCTGCACGAGGGCTGCATGGTGGCGTAATTTTTATAAATGGAAACACTGACTTTAGAATATTTAAATTTAAATTCATGGCGCAAGTTTTTGATGCGAAATCTTTCTTTTCAAATAGTAGAATCCCCATCAATCCACATGCAAGGCGGTCTTACAAAATATCCCATCCACCACGCGTTTTCTGGTGTTTTCGTCACTACCACAGACCGTTCGATAGATGCAAGACAGTTCTCGTTGCGTCAATAACACTAGATCAAGATCGCGAATCAGATAATCAAAATTTTCTATGGGCGTCCAGAAGGGACAAAATTATGAACACATACACAACTAGAGGGCACTCAGAGACTGCATACCTCCGCCCGTTACTCGGAAGTGAAACGCAACCTTGGAATTTCCTAAAAAATCCACTTTATAATTCTTAAGCATAAAAGATTTCAGGCCCCCGCGAATTGAAATCGAATTGCTAATAGAACATATTACTGTTGTTGTACTGTACAGTACTTGTAAAATAAAAACTTTTTAAGTGTCATTAAATAAATGCATAAATTTTGCTTTATGCACTCGCGCGTGCAGTAATTTTCACAGTTGTGCTATTTTAAATTCCCAGGCAGCTAAAATCTTTTGTCTTTAAAACAATGTCGATTTCTTGGGAAATTCGGAGGTTGCGTTCTTTTTATACACCCTGTATTGAAGTAATCTAATGTTGTTAGAATTTGAATGGACTGGCACTTTGCTGAATGTAATAATGCGTAACTCCGTAAGCCTTGTTTTAGACATTGAATTTCGGTCGCGTGAAATGCAACTAAGACAATAGAAAACGAAGGCCGAAGCTTAATGAGGTTTATCATCTCATTACTGTCTTAGCACTGAGTGCATAAATTATACACGTCCTAATTACGCATTCAGTAATATATTTTGTTAATTGACCGGGAAAAGCAAGACAAAATTGTGTTCATTTCTCGTTCAATTTTTAACCAAATTCAACCAAATTTTAATCAGTTCTTCCTTAGCCGATGGGAAATGCATTCAAAAAATTTCGTACGGATATGTTTGGTATTTCTTGAGTTATCGTGCTCACAGACAAACACACACACACATACACATACACACACACACACATACACACACACACACACACACACACACACACACACACACACACACACACACACACACACAAACCCAGATGATTACATAACCTCCTGGCGGAGGTAATTAAGCCCAATTAGTGCTTGTAAACACTATGAAAGCTCACACATGTAATACGAAACGCTCACAAAAGACATTCGAACCCGACGCGCATTGCAAATAAGCCGAACCTTTCACACACAAGTCGAAGTGTCACACACACAATACAAACCTCTCACAAACAAGTCGAAATGTCACACACAAAAAAGTCGAACTTTCTTCATGGGGGGATCGGCAGATTATCATGTTAATTTATTTAGGACGAAAAAAATTGCATACATTTCCGCACTTTGGTTACGCCGGGAGAATAGAATGTTGCGATATCCCGCGTTTTAACTACAAAGCACTCTTTTGTCTAACGTGTTTGGCTTGAGTAAGGATACTTTTTCATCGCATACAACAGCATGAAAGAGGATAACTTGCATGTGACGGAAGATAGAATTCAGTCGTTGGTCCGGGGGATAGTTGGCGAACTATTTGTCCCAGACAATGGGCCCAGGCAAGATCAGCAATTTGGTGCCACTGAAGATGATCATGTTATAAACAATCGATTTTGCTTACCGAGAACTAGAGCTAAACAACAATGCCATTCATGCCAACTCGCCATTGCCGTTGACGCCGTGAAACAGTGTAAATGGTCCTGTTATTATTCATTGACTTCGTGTACGAGTTCAAGTTTAAATACAAGCATCCTAGTACAAAGAAATAGCACAAAAGAGCAGTTTAAACTATGACTTGCGACGAAGATCTGGCCCTAGACCAACGAGACAACGTGGTCCGGCGGTCTTGAATTAATACCCGACGCCGTGCGAATATTGTTATTCACGCCAATATTGCTAAAACCTCCTCTGAAAAAAACAAATATTTCCTGAAATATGTTTTTGCCTACTTCCTCCAAGTGTGAATATAAAGTCTACCTGCAAAGACTACACGAAGTCGAGGAAGTATAACAACAGGACCATTTACATTGTTTCTCCACGTCAACATTTTCCGTTATCAGCTCTAGTTCTCGGAAAGCTTTAATGGCACCAAATTGCTGATCTTGTTTCGGCCTATTATCTGGGACAAATAGTTCGCCAACTATTTCCCGGGCCAACGACTGAATTATATCTTCCGTCACATGCAAGTTATCCTCTTCCATGCTAAGCCAAACACGTGAGCCAAAAGAGTGCTTTGTAGTTAATTTAAAACGCGGGAAATCGCAACATTCTTATCTCTCGCCGTAAACAAAGTGCGGAAATGTATGCACATTTGTTCGTCCTAAATAAATTAACATGCTAAATTGCCGAACCCCCACGAAGACAGTTCGCCTTTTTTGTGCATGTGTGACCATAGTTATTAATAGAGGAGATGGTTTGGAAACTCGCTAGCATTACAATAAAATCACAACAAACCTCATTATCTATGTTGTTCAGGTTTATGCAAAAATGTGATCTTTCATCGTCACGTGTGTATTGTATTTTTCTCAAGTCAACCAATAGCAATGTTCAAAATGTCCTATTGCTAAAGTCATGGATGGGCAATTGGACAAAACCGTTGCTATTGGCTGGTTGAGCAAAAATACAATACGCACGTGACGATGAAAGACCACATTTTTGCATAAACCTGAACAAAAACATAGATAGTGAGGTTTATTGTAATGCTAATGAGTTTCCAAACCATCTCCTCCATTAACTATGGTGTGACATTTCGACTTGTGTGTGAGAGGTTCGGCTTATTTGCACGTACTTCGAATGTCTTTTGTGAGCGTTTCGTATTACATGTGTGAGCTGTCATAGTGTTTACAAGCATTCATAATTTTGTCCCTTTTGGGACGCTCATAATTGTCTTTAGCACTGCAGTTTAGGCGGCAACTGTAATTGCACGGTCGGATTTCTATATCAAACGTAAGCGATTGTTATTATAAATTAATGATGCATATGTGGAAAGATGTTGAAATAAAAGCATATAATGATGACGTTTATCTGATCATAGTTAATAGAGGAGATGGTTTGGAAACTCGCTAGCATTAATGCTAGCGAGTTTCCAAACCATCTCCTCTATTAACTATGATCAGATAAACGTCATCAATCAGATAAACGTCATCAGATAAACGCCCTGCGATTCCTGGTCCTAGATCTTAATTAATTGAATAGTGTCTATACATATCAGTGGTGTAACTTAACTTTTTTGACCACTTCCCCTCAGGGCAAGTTGTACATGAAAATTAGTTGCCCTGAATAAAATTCACTTGTCATCAGACAATGGCCACTGGGATACCTAGGTAGGGGGTATGAATTAAGGGGGCAATATGTCGACCCGTTCTCCCACTGCTTTATTTTAGGCCACAAAAAAACAAACTTTGAATCAATCAAGATGCCCAGCTTTTTGTGGCAAGGCAACTTGCCCAATCGATAAAACGTGTACTAGCTTGCCCGTCATGATATTCACTTGCCCCAGGCAAGCAGGCAAGTGTTAAGTTACACCTCTGCATATATATTGTATTATCGACCAAACCGAGTATTCTAGTCCAACCAAGTGAAGTGCAAATAATATCCTTAAAGTTGTAATATGTATGGTAGGCCTATGTTAAGCAGAGACATGGCCGTGGGCCATAGGCGTACCGGGCGGGGCGGTAGCCCCCCCAGTTTTTTGGGCAGTCGGGCAATATTCGATCAACAGTCGGGCAATTTCGGTTTGCAATAAAAAAAAATGGGACAAATTCAGTCAATTTTGTCTAAAATTAAGTAAATTTTTTTGCAAATTTTGTGATTTTTTTAAAATTTGTGTTATGTTCCGAAAAATATTGGTTGTCCGGAACAATTTTTTGACCCCTAAAATGGTACACTGACCGAAATTTTTTTGGCGACGGGGGGGGGGAGGGAGGGGGAGGTCGCCAAAATAATTTTTCCGGAAAAAATTTTTGGTACTAGTCGGGCAGAATCCCGAAAAGTCGGGCAATTTTCTTTCTGCCCCCCTAATTTTTTCCTTCCGGTACGCCCATGCCGTGGGCAGAGAGTAGGGATATGCTGGATTGGGTTACTGGCATCCGGCAAAATATAGGCCATCCAAAACTATCAATGCTGTGCCACAGGCACAGATATTTATGCTTAATATATAAAGTGATAAAGCACATATTAAATAAACTATGGACTATTTTTAGTGAATCTGATTATATTTGCTGATTTTTGAGAACAATATTTGGAGCCGGGGCTACATACAAGCACAGCCGAGCTCAAATATTAATCTTGAAATATACAAAGACAACATTTGAGGCACTGTCTCAGCCCTATCATTGCAAACATCACTTTATACAAGTGAAGCTCTTTATAAACCCACTATTAAAAGATTCTCCCCTTGACAATTAAAATCTTCTGACAATTTTTATGGACAGAGTATGTATTATGCAATACAATAGAGGACTTGAGCTTGACACATTAAGGATAGATTTATATTGACACACTAAAAATAGCATAATAAATGCTGTCGTTCCTCTCTGATTCCAATCCTTATTGAAGTACTAAAATGCAAACATATCTTTAAAAGTATTCGGATGTTTAATAAATATTATTTCTTATAATTATTTACCCAGCTTGACAATAGTCTTAACTCTTACTCTTAAGCAAAGTGCCAAGTTATGCCAAAGAAAATATTGCTAAATTGTTAATAATAGTGTGAAATTTAGTATAGAATTCACAATAATAGGTTCGAATTTATATTTCATTCTTTCTTTGCTGCCAGAAACCAACATTTTGTATGTTTTATATACAAATTGAACGCGGCAAATTCAAACATTCAACGGAATTTTACACATGGCCTACATGGCTCAAGTTAACAATGATATTCACCACATTATTTCGCAATTAAAGGGCTTAAATAATAAGTCAAATACAAAAGTATTCTTACCTGTGACATCTGAATAACATGTTAAGAACTTTCCGATTCCTTTCCCACCGCTTGGATTAAAAATATCAACGAAATATTCCAAGCACCGCAGTGACCATACTAGGCTCAGAATCCAGCCGTTGTGTCACAGATGAAAGAGAGTTTGGGAACGCGACGGGAAGTGGCGACGGCGACGTCTGTGACCGAGCAGGGGCCCGGGAACGAATACGTTGCAGAAACGTCGCCGTTGCCCCCAGAATTCTGTTTGGCTACTGTTCGGTGGTAAAATTTAAAACTTTTGTAAATTCAAAATGGATGAAATTTTTGACACTCTCCTTTTGTCGTACGATGATGGTTTAATATCAGACGAGGAGCTTTTACTTCTCCAAGATTACTTATGTATATCGCCAAATAGGCACTCAAATTTCCCTTATCGGGATTGTAATCCATTTGACTGGGAAAACCTTGACGAACTTACTTGCAAAGTTGAGTTTCGGTTTGACAAACAAGACATTCCAAGGTTGCAAGAAGCGCTTCAATTTCCAGAAATGATTTCCATCCCACATGCTACAGACTGTCCTGGATTGGAAGCTTTGTGCATATTGCTCAAAAGATTTGCTTACCCAGTGCGATACTGTGATATGGTTCCCATGTTTGGCCGATCAGTGCCTGAACTATGCAAGATTACTCAATATGCAATCAATCGTATTTACAACAACCATGGTTTCAGATTACAAAGCTGGAATCAACCATTTCTATCTCCAGAGAATCTGGAATCCTATGCAAATGCAATTCATGTCAAAGGTTCCCCTCTTCTAACATGCTTTGGTTTCATCGATGGCACAGTTCGGCCAATTTGTAGACCCAGTGTTAATCAAAGAATTGTTTACAATGGTCATAAGCGGCTACATGCCATCAAATTTCAGAGTATATGTATTCCGAATGGTCTGATAGCAAACCTGTCTGGACCATGGGGTGAGTTAGCACTTTTTTGACATTTATATTGCCAATAATCAGTACAATGATGTGTTCTGTTATAAATTGTTAATATATAAATTTTGAACAAAGTCATTCAATTCAATCATTTAGTTATATATTTTGTTTTGCTTTGCTTTAGAGGGAAGAATGCATGATGCACGTATACTTGGAGAGTCAGGCTTGATGCAAGACCTCAGGCAGCATGCATTTGCACCAGACGGCACCCCATTATGTCCATATGGTGACCCAGCCTACCCATTGAGGGTCCACCTCCAGCAACCATTCCGAAATAATGCCGCATTAACAGAAGATATGAGGCAATA